GGTTCACTTTCTTCCCACAAGTTCCTGGCCAGGGTGTAGAAGATGGTAATAAACACCGCTCCAATGACTAGTGAAACTAATAAACCACAAGCGGTACCGATCCATATTTGCTTTTTCATCCTTCTTCGCAAACCATTTTCTTGTTCCGGGACCAGTTTGTCGATAAACCCCAAGAGCACGGCGAGAATAATCGTGACCTCAAGCGTTTCACGCAAGAGGATGAAATAAGCAGGTACATCAAATAAATAAACCATAATATCTTACAAAGAAAAAAAACTTATAAGGGCAATTGTTGTGGAATATATGCAGAACTAGCCAGAAGAGCTTACAGGACCCACGAAAAATCTAGCATTTCCTCAAAACGCGGCCTTTTTATAATTGATCAAAGATCTCGAATCACGCCACCAAATGACACCAAGCAAAAATGCATGGTTAATTAAAATGATCTCTATCAAAAAACTTAATCTGATAATTTTTCGATTCGGGAACGTGTTAAACAGGATAGCCGTAAGATGTGTTCGAGTGTACACGAGTTTCGAAAAGAAAAAAAAACGTTTATGTTCAAAGCGATGACCAATGAAACCTTTGAGACGATTTACCGAAGAACGAAAAGAATTAGCCAAACTTTCCATCTTCATATTGGAATCTGATAAAGAGATCTAATGTCACACCAAAATACTATATCCCGTTTTGTCGAGGGATCCCTTTTGGCTGTGATTTATTTGATCTACAGGATGAGATTCGTACAATAAAAAAAAAAGCTACACAGTATACAGTATCTGAGATATTTTCGTTTTGAGATCGGATATTTGCATATCGGCCAGTTGCAGTTATGGCCTTAATACTTTACATGTATCGCTCTGTTGCTTCCGATCTGCTTCTGATAGTTTTATTGGTGGAAAAAAAAAAAAAGGGAGTGAAGTAAATTGTATGTATTTATTTGTAGTCCAATAAAATTTCTCCGATGACATATTAACTTGTTTTATATTGTTTACCAAAACGTATTTGTGAATCTGATAAACCATACCGAAAACTTGAAACAACGAAAATATGAGTTTATCAGATTTTGAACACCAAAATTCCCCGATTAACATCTTTTAATAACCAGTATGCCGATACTCTTTCCTTCGTTGGTGTGTGAATCTGATAAACCATTTTCGAAACTTGAAACTGCAATATATAGAGTTTATCAGATTTTGAACACAAACATTCCCGATTGTTAACATCTCTTTAATAAACTGGTAATGCCCGATACTCTTTTCCTTCGATGGGTTAATTACAGTTATCAGATTCTGCAATCCAAACTGTCACCGGGAAAGTTTAATATAATCCATTTCATTGTTGTACGTACATACGCGCGATAGTCGCCTTGATCAAAAAAGAAAATTCTGTAATTGCCGCATGCGGGGGCTGACAATTACCCGCACGTTCAATGGTACGTATGTCACTCGGAGCCGAAATGTGACTCATTCACCTGCTAATTAACCAACGACCGGTAATACTCCTGAATGGCTTATCAGATTTTGAGCACAAAATTTTATAACCCAAATGTTCAGATATCAGATTGTCATTATTGCCTAATTAATTGGGGCTTATCGCGTTCTGTTCCGATAGGTGATTGATTTATAATAAAAAAAGGTCGTCAAAATTAAATGTGAAGAAGGGAAGTACTGGGTTAATTGTGTTAATGCCAATGAATAGTTGATGTGTTGATGTTTACGTCATTCAGATATCATGCGCGTAAATGAACAAATCGAAAGAATTGGGCTGAGATTCTTCGATTTTTCTTCAATCATTATGTAATAATGTCTCGTTAACATTAATGGCTACAGTCAACTCATTAAACAATCAACGTTACCACTCGATTATTCAATTAAATTACTAGATTATTTATTATTCACATAGTAAAAAGTCCCTATCCTTGGTATCCAAGTGTTAATCTATTATATATCACACGAGAAATAAGTGGCACGCTCTACGCAGTAGAACATCCCAGAAATAAAAAGGGTGACAATGGAAGATGTGCCCGATGGTATAATAAATATTACTCATTTCAGAATCGTGGTTTTCTTCCAAATCTTAGGTCACGAGTATTCAAAGGTGATTTCACCGGCTGAATTTTGCAAAACTTATTTGAGTATGACCATGTATTCTGGAAGTGTGGCCTGGAGACGAAACAAAGATATGTAGTTGGAGAGATTTTTAGCTTGTATGAAAATTGAACAGCAGACATCGTGAGTGCTTACCTCGTCCTTGTCAACGATCAATATGGAATCGGAGCGCGGGCTAACGACGCTGACGACAAACATGATTTTTTTTTTACCGAACGGATCGCAATATCCAATAGACACGCTCGGATCATTTGCAAACCACATTCCTTTATCGATGGGTGGGATAAAAAATTAAAAAATCTATCAGCATGAATGAATAAACAAGAGTCATGTCACATGCATAGGGAACACTTACTATTGGTATAACGAGAGAATTTGGTTTGATTTCCAGCTTGTGCGATACCACATCCTCCACAATAGGACTTACAAAATGACTGATTTTTTTCATGGTTATTCTTAAGGAACCGTTCCGGATTACAACCTTTGCGAGTCTTTGTACCATGGAACATACGGTGCGTCACAATTTCCTCATTGAGAAAATTTTCTCTGGCAATTCTTTTCTTGTATTTCATATGTGAATCGACAATGCTAACTGGCATTTGCAAACGTATTATCCCCTCAATTTCAGTGTACGTTTGAGTTTTTCTAAATAAACTTGCAATATTGATGTATTCTTTATCATCTGGCTTTAGCCTCTTCATTATAGTCTTATGTGATTTGCCTTTAGAACCGTGCTTTCTGCTCGTTTCTTCGATCTCTGTATCCAACGTCAAAGAAGTTCCGTAAGCGGAATCGTATGTGATGCCAGACGCTCTGCTGTTAATGGAATTTTGTGATGTGGATGCATGATTGGAGGAAAAAGGAAACTTGCTTGGAACATTCAAGCTGCTACTACATGAAACATCTCCTTCGCTTGGTACGGTACTTATTATCGAAGTGCTTGTGGATGTCTGGTGCGCGGTGAGCCCTTTTGTCGCACAATTTATGCTACAATATACATCTTTTCTTTTTGCACATGGGTTTCTGCATCCTTCTATTTGGCATATCGGTTTTTGTTTCTTGATCTTACGACTCAAACCTTTCAGAATTCGAAAGAATCCAGAAATACCGGATTTCTGTTTAGGTCTCGCGTTGGTAGTTTCTTGAGACATCTTTATTCAAATTTGGAGGTTACAGAATATGGATCGTGTTGTGAAAATCGGGTGAATTGTTTGAATGCAAGATTTTAAAACGATGACTTCCTTTTTTATAGGGTTTTCTATTTCTCACGCCGGAGATTTCTTTCCATGGATTAAGGGTCAGGCCTTTTCTATTGTGCGACCCGATTATGCTCGACTGCTCGGTGAGTTTCTGTATATGAATGATATGAATGGCAACTCAAAATGGGGATGCCATTTTTTCCAGAACACAAGATCCCGAGAATCAATCAAAGTTTCCCGACAATGGGCTGTTCATACAACAAACAAAGAACAGACGTATAATTGAATCGAAAGAAAAGTTCAAACTTCCATTTTCCCTAGCTATAAAAAGAAAAGTTCTATTTTTGCAGTGGATTTATTTATAGAATGCACACATATGTTGTGTGAATACGTCGTGTGATAACTGCTACGATGTATCCTAAAAGATAAAAAAAAAGCGCATTTTCAGCCAGACATTTTTTTCTATTTGTACAACAGTGTTTCACAAGCTTAAATATTGTAGTATTGAAGTACAGGTCTATATAAATAGTTCACTAAGCATTTGTTGTATTTGTTGTATTTGTTGTAATACGCAGAGTTTGAGTTCTTTGTTAATGTCTTTTCCCTCTGGAACGACCAAGTGAAAATTTTGATGAAGCGAATACTCAATTGGTTTGGTCTGCGAACGATGGAATCGAACAAACATGAATTTTTTTTTTTGCCATTCGAGATAGAAGTTTCCCGGACCCTTAAAAAAAAAATTTAAGGTAGCGATTCACAGAAAATGTAGATGATGAAGTATATACATCATTCCTTTGAACGTATTGCGTAACACTTGTGTCCACTTATGTAAGTACACCCTTTTTTGGTAACGATGGATACGTCCATAAACAGTAAATAGATAATAATTGCGAGTACGACGTTTGTGCTATTCCGATAGCATACATTCGTACAAATATTACACAGTGCGCGATCCAATATAAATTGATAAACATACTCCAATGTATCTCTGAATATTTTATACTTTTTATGCACACATTCATTTAGAACATTCGGGTCCTAACCAATTTCAAAAAAAGTGAAATCATTTATCTACTGGATTCACTTTGGTGGCACTGTTACCCTTCCTTCGAGAAGATTATATCTGAACGATACCTTACCGTTGTTGCGCATAAACACCAAACGTCAATCGACTTTATTCTTTGAATGAGAAAGACTGGTTCTTTAACATAGAAGAGTATAATTCTCCTTCGTCATAAACGACTTCCCCATTAGATGTACCATTACTGCATTATCAAGAAATCCTCTTGTCGAATAAATGGTGTTCCTTCTTTTAAAAATAAATTCATCATCCTTCGAAATATATAATAAATCCCAATTCTTTTAACAATGTTTCAGGAAAACCCGAAACCCTTACCAGATATTCCCTCCAACTTCTCCATGTCTTCCAAATCATCGAGTACTCATCAACGGACTAGAAATTCACGTTCTTCGATACGCAAGAAGATGCTAGTTCCCTATGAAATGTTTTCCCGATGGTTGGAAGTAAAACACCCGAAAGCCGCGAAATACAAAGTCCCGATACTGATAACCATTGGATTATTTACTTTGGCAATATTTATCATCATCATAGTAGCGGCGGTGGGAGGATATAACAATGAAGGTGATAGGGGAAGTCCGGGAATTAACTTGAACGGCAAAGGAGACGGAACTTATTATGGTGGGTCCTTGTTCAAAGCATTTATTTTTTCCTTTTGAGTCGAAATTAATTATCGCATGTTTGATTCGTTCAAAGATCCCGGCGTAGGTCTTGGATCGTGTGGATGGCAAAATTATGATAGCGAATTTGTGGCGGCTCTTGTATGATCAAATTTTCCTTGCTCGAGAATTTTTTTTTTCGTCCAAATGTTTGACATAACCTGTGACCTCCATCACATATCTAGAATGCACCACAGTACGGTATATACTCGGACCCTTCAAACGCCCCGGTTTGTGGCAAATGTATACTAGTGAGTGGCCCAAAAGGAAGCGTCAAAGTTAAGATCGTGGATAAGGTATTCTCAAATGAATCGACACCATTATACAGTACTTCTTCAAAATCATTGTTGACTCTGAAAAATAATTCAATACTAGTGTCCTGTTTGCAAAAGTGGTGACGTGGATATGTCTTCGACCGCTTTCAAAGTAGGTGTTTCAATTCTCTCAGTATCTCCATGTGTGCAAACGGCAACTAATTTGTCACATCAAATATATTACAATCGAACAGCAAATTGCGGATATGGACAATGGCAGAGTAAGCATCACATGGAAAGGATGCTGATAGGACTTCTATAAACCCCGAATTTTTTTTTTAACCTCATATCTAATCAATCAATTGCATGATCAATTAATTTAATTTAACATACATATTGTACAAATTGCATTATATATATATATATAATAAAAAATAAGATTAATTAACTTGATGAACTTTTCACTGTACAAGAGATAATGATAACAGATTAAATAGATAATTCACTCAAACACTTCAACGTCCTGTTTCATCACAACCAAGAATCTTCCTTCCCCCTCGCCAAAACTAACACTGTTCAATCCCAATAACTCTGCCTGACGATGTAACATTTTTCTTTGAAAGCCGGTCAGCTCGGGTGGAAATTTGAGCACTTTCTCATCACTTCCACAGAATCTTTTCGTAACTTTGATCATGAAAGAAGTTAAATCTTCATTTTTTAAGCCTTCAAATGTTGCTCCGTGGCTAAAATATACTGGTGTAACAAATGGTATTAGAATTCTCTTCTCTAACTCTTTCTCACCTTTGTCCGTGTTCGGACGTCTTGCCTTGAGTTGATTGCGAATCTCATGGGAAAACTTCCATGACTCATTTGAATCATCGGGTTTGACGGAATTTTGGGGTAGTGATGATTTTGTGGCTGGATGTCTCGGTTTCGATCTCGAGCTTGCGGTCGATGACGAACCGCCATTGCGATTATGAAAATTTGCAAAGAGTTTGGGTTTTAACCGAGATTGTCTCGGATCTCGAATATTTCTATTATTCTCTTTTTCTTGTGAAGCAGCATTTTCTCTGTTTTCTTTTTGGGGCGGAGGAGACAGGTTCTCATCAATCAATGTTCTTTCCTGACGTTTTCTTTTCCATTCCCTGTTTTCTGCGTGACTAAAAGGCAACAAAT